ACACACAGTGTGGGGCACACACACACTGTGCAGTGCACACACACGCAGCACACGGTGCGGTGCAGTGCACACACACAGTGTGGTGCACACACACAGTGTGGGGCAGAGCGGGTGTATGCAGCGCAGTGCGGTGCAGTGTGGGGCAGAGCGGGTGTATGCAGCGCAGTGCAGTGCAGTGTGGGGCAGAGCGGGTGTATGCAGCGCAGTGCAGTGCTGTGCAGTGCAGTGTGGGGCAGAGCGGGTGTATGCAGTGCAGTGCAGTGCGGTGCAGTGCAGTGTGGGGCAGAGCGGGTGTATGCAGCGCAGTGCGGTGCGGTGCAGTGCAGTGTGGGGCAGAGCGGGTGTATGCAGCGCAGTGCGGTGCGGTGCAGTGCAGTGTGGGGCAGAGCGGGTGTATGCAGCGCAGTGCAGTGTAGTGTGGGGCAGAGCGGGTGTATGCAGCGCAGTGCGGTGCTGTGCTGTGCAGTGCAGTGTGGGGCAGAGCGGGTGTATACACTGCAGTGCAGTGCGGGGCAGTGCAGTGCGGGGCAGAGAGGGTGTATGCAGTGCAGTGCGGTGCGGTGCAGTGCAGTGTGGGGCAGAGCGGGTGTATGCAGCGCTGTGCGGTGCGGTGCAGTGCAGTGTGGGGCAGAGCGGGTGTGTGCAGCGCAGTGCAGTGCAGTGTGGGGCAGAGCGGGTGTATGCAGCGCAGTGCGGTGCGGTGCAGTGCAGTGTGGGGCAGAGCGGGTGTATGCAGCGCAGTGCGGTGCAGTGCGGGGCAGAGCGGGTGTGTGCGGTGCAGTGCGGTGCTGTGCAGTGCAGTGTGGGGCAGAGCGGGTGTATGCAGCTCTGTGCGATGCTGTGCAGTGCAGTGTGGGGCAGAGCGGGTGTATGCAGCGCAGTGCGGTGCTGTGCAGTGCAGTGTGGGGCAGAGCGGGTGTGTGCAGCGCAGTGCAGTGCTGTGCAGTGCAGTGTGGGGCAGAGCGGGTGTATGCAGCGCAGTGCAGTGCAGTGTGGGGCAGAGCGGGTGTATGCAGCTCTGTGTGATGCTGTGCAGTGCAGTGTGGGGCAGAGCGGGTGTATGCAGCGCAGTGCGGTGCGGTGCAGTGCAGTGTGGGGCAAACGGGTGCATGCAGCACAGTGGTGTGCAGTGCAGTGTGGGGCAGAGCGGGTGTGTGCAGCGCAGTGCGGTGCTGTGCAGTGCAGTGTGGGGCAGAGCGGGTGCATGCAGCACAGTGAGGTGCTGTGCAGTGGGGTTTAGTATGGTGCAGTGCTGTGCAGTGTGGTGCTGCACAATGTGATCTGTAGCGTGGTGTGCAGTGCAGTGTGGGGCAGAGGGGGTGTATGCAGCGCAGTGCGGTGCTGTGCAGTGCAGTGTGGAGCAGAGCGGGTGTATGCAGCGCGGTGCAGTGTGGTTTAGTACGTTGCGGTGCTGTGCAGTGTGGTGCTGCACAATGTCATCTGTAGTGTGGTGCTGTGCAGTACAGTGGTGCGCAATGCAACACGTAGTGCAGTGTGCAGTGCAGTGTGGTTTGGTATGGTTCAATGTGGTGCTGTGCAGTACAGCGGTGAGCAGTGCAGCGCAGTGTGCAGTGTTGTGCAGTGCAGTGCAGTTTGGTGCGGTGCTCTGTGGCACTCTGTGGTGCTGCACAGTGCAGCCCAATGGGGCTTGTGCAACGTGGTGCGGTGCAGTGCGACATGCAGTGCAGCGTGCCTTGCGGCGCCGTGCAGTGCAGTGCTCTGTATCACCGTGCAGTGCAGTGCTCTGTATCACCGTGCAGCACTGTGCACAAGCGACACATCCACGTGCACGAAGCAGCCACAAGCCCCACATGAAGCCCGTGTGCTTAAGCATCCATGGGTGCACATGGGTACAGCCCAGAGGCCGGGGTGAGGGGCTTGATGGGTGTTGTGGCACCCTGTGTGCACCCAGGGGGGCAAAGGGACGTCGCCAGGGGCATGGAGGCGTCAGTGTCAGAGGCAGAGGAGCTGAAATGCCACCGTTTCCCCCCAAAACCTTGTTCTGGGACATGCTTAGTGTGAAACTGGGCTTTGCTCAGGGCTCTGCGGCTGGGTTTGACCACGGCTGGGGGGGAATGGGGGCTCTTCAGGCAGGGTTTCACCCCAATCCTGGCAGCTCAGCCCGTGACAGCGTCAAAGCCACCAGGGACTTCCCTTGGGATGAAGCCATCGGATGGGGCTGGGATGAAAGCGCTGCATTGATCCCAGTAATGAATTGCTTGTTAGTGGGATGGCTCAAGTCAGGCCTGGAGCTGGGATGGAAACCACAGCCCTGATGGGGAGGTGATGGCCAGAGCTGAGCTCTGCAAGGGGAGGGAGAGATGCTGAACCCAGGGTCCTGCATCCCGGAACACTGTGGGAAAGGGTCCGTGGGGGGAATCACAGCCATGCACAAAGGGCAGCGTGACCCATGGGTGCAGAGTCCTGCCCATGGGGCTGAGGTGGGTGCCATGGAATCAGGGAATGGTTTGGGATGAAGGGAGCTTAAAGCCCATCCAGCCCCAACCCCTGCCACGGGCAGGGACCCCTTCCATAGAGCAGCTTGCTCCAAGCCCCTGTGTCCAACCTGGCCTTGAACACTGCCAGGGATGGGGCAGCCACAGCTTCTCTGGGCACCCTGTGCCAGCGCCTCAGCACCCTCACAGGGAAGAGCTTCTGCCTTATCTCCAACCTGAACTTCCCCTGTTTCAGTCTGCGCCCAGTCACGCAGGCTGGGATGTTCTGCCACCCGCAGGGACCCGGACACGCTGCAGAGGTGGGGCCGTGTGAGCCCCATGGAGCTCAACCAGGCCAAGGGCAAGGTCCTGCCCCTGGGCTGGGGCATTCCCAGTGCAAACCCAGCCTGGGAGAGACCGGATGGAGCAGCCTGAGGAGAAGGACTTGGGGTGCTGGGTGAGGAGAAGCTCCCCATGACCCGGCTTCAGTGTGTGCTTGAGCCCAGAACCCCCCCGTGTGCTGGGCTGCACCCCCAGAGCGTGAGCAGCAGCTCAGGGAGGGGATCCTGCCCCTCTGCTGCGTGAAGGGGAGACCCCCCCTGCAGCCCTGATCCAGCTCTGGGGCAGCAGCACAAGGGCTCTTGACAAGGGGCTGCCCCATCCCTGGTAGCATCCCTGCACCCCAAACCCACATCCCTCACCCTGCTCCGGAGCATCCCTCGGGACCCCGACACGAGGCACCCACGGAGCCGCCGCGGGGAGATCCACGTATGAAATTTATTTAGGAAACCAAAACCCACCAAAAATTATAGAGTAAGAAAGGAGGAGGAGGGGAAGGGGAAGGGGAAGGGGAAGGGGAAGGGGAAGGAGAAGGAGAAGGAGAAGGAGAAGGAGAAGGAGAAGGAGAAGGAGAAGGAGAAGGAGAAGGAGGAGAAGCAGAAGGAGAAGGAGGAGAAGGGGTGGAAGAGAACAGGAGGAGGAGGAGAAGACTGGGAGGAGTGGAAGAACAAGGAGGAGAAGGGGAATGAGAAGGAGGAGGAGGAGAAAACAAGAAGGGGAGGAGGAGAAGAACGAGAAGAAGAAGGGGAAGAGAAGGAGGAGAAGGGGAAGATGAGAATAACAAGGAGGAGGAGAAGGGGAAAGGGAGGAGAAGGAGAAAAGAAGCCAGGGAGGATTAAAACGAGGAGAAGAACAAGAAGTACAGAAGGAGAGGAGGCAAGGAGAAGGGGAGGGAGGAGGAGAAGGAAGAGGAGAAGGAGGAGAATAAAGAGAAGAAGGAGACAAAGCGGGAGCAGGAGGAGCAGATTCGCCTCCTCGGGCTCCGCTGGAGCCCAGCACAAGCAGCGCCGCGAGCGGGGCGCGGAGGAGCCGGCGGAGGCTCCGCTGCCCGGTATCCACCGGGAACCGGGGGAGCAGCGCCCACCGGCGGCAGGGGCTGGGGAAGCGGGATGCGGCCGGGGACCTGTGGTACCCGGGACGCGGCACCCCAGGCGGGATCCGCATCCCCGCATCCATCGGCACCCGTCTGGGGTGTGAGGCTCCCTCACTGGCTCCGGGATGCAGGTACCGGCTGGATGGGGAACATTGGTCCGTGACCACGCTGGTGTCACACCAGGGATGGAGCCACCCTCCTCCTCTTGCAGTGTGTGGGGGGGGTTCGCTGCTTGTGGGACCATCCATATCCCCCCTTGTGTCATCTCGTGGTGGCCAAGGGCTTGGGGGGTCTTGTAGGAGAAGCCAGCAGCCAACGTGGTCACCGCATGGGTCCTACCAGGGTTTGGGCAAAGGCATCTCCGAGTAGGTAAGGCAAAAGGAATTGAGTTCTCTTTGTCCATGGCGAGGTTCTCCTGATGCTCCCATAGACACGTGTGCTCCAGGGCACCCCAGGAGACCAGGCCAAGCTGCCCTTGATCCTGGTGGGACCAACCCCATCGGGACCAACCCCAGTAGAGCCAGGACTTCACTGTGCTGCTTCCATCACCTTCCTCTGCCGTGGTGGTGCTGATGGAGCCATCGGCTCCCATGGGCTGGATGGAGCAGCCAGAGGGGCTCGGTGCACCCCAGTGCCTCATTCCTGGCTCCCCCTGCCCTGGTTCTCCTGCTCATGGCTGGTTTGGGTGGCTTTAAGTGGGGTGACAAAGACCTGGAGGGGCACTGTGGGGCTGATGGAGCAGAGGGGTCCACACGTATCTGGTGGTGGGGCTGGGGGGACCATGGGGTGGCCAGAAGGGTCCATGCATGGTGATTGATGGGTTAGAAGGACCACAGGAGACCATCAGGGTCCATGCATGGTGGTTGGTAGGACAGGAGGGACCACAGGAGGGCATCACTGTCCATGCATGGTGGTCAACAGGACCACAGGAGGATGGTGGGGTCCATATGCATCAGGCAGCAAGGCAGGAGGGGTGGTGGGACACTGGCAGGGTCCATGCATGGCCAGAGGGACCACAGGAAACCATCAGGATCCATGCATGGTGCTAAGTAGGACCAGGGGGACCACAGGAGGCCATTGCTGTCCATGCATGGTGGTCCGTGGGACCAGAGGGTCCATGGGAGGATGGTAAGGTCCATGCATGGCAGTTGATGGGACCAGAAGGACCACAAGAAGCCATCAGGGTCCATGCATGGTGGTCTATAGGACCAGAGGGACCACAGGAGACCATCAGGGTCCATGCATGGTGCTCTGCAGGACCAGAGGGGCCACAGGAGACCATCAGGGTCCATGCATGGTGCTCTGCAGGACCAGAGGGGCCACAGGAGACCATCAGGGTCCATGCATGGTGCTCTGCAGGACCAGAGGGACAATGGTGGGGTCCATGCATGGTGGCCACAGCGGGGTGATGCCATGGACGGGTTGGTCACTGGTGCAGCCACTTGCAGCGAGGAGGCTCCAGGATGGGCACCACGGTGCTGAGCCACAGAGACACCACGTGGTGGGGACCAATCCTGCAGCCTTGGCACGGGTGTAGCCCTTGCAGGGGTCATGGTTTGGTGGGACCAGGCTGGGTGAAAGACACGGGGCCTCCCATGGGTGATGGGGGGTTAGAGGCAGGGGGGTTCTCCAGTGTGGTGGGGCTGGATGCAGGCAGAGCATCGCCATGGTCATGGGCATCCTGCCCCAGATGCCTCCTCTATGTAGATCCAGCCTCTTTCCATGGGTCTCATCCTGGCTCCTCCATCCCCAGCACTCCCATCCCACCTCCCCAGCCTTGGCTCCACCTTTGGGGTCCATAGGGATGTCCCCACGCCATTCACCCCATCACCAGCACTCCCATTGCCCCTCATCCCCCTCCATCCCATTGACCCCATTTCAGGTGAGAACCCTTTGAGGGTGCTTCCATTGAGGACATCGTCCCCGTTGTCACCCTATGGAGACAAAACCTGCAGCCTTAAGGCAGTTGAAAGCACACCCAGCCCTATGGCGTCCCCATGGCGTCCCCATAGTGTCCCCACAGGGCCCCAAGGCAGAGTCCCACCAAAGAGGGCCCCAAGGTGAAGGTGGCACCTGAACGAACACCCACAGGAAGGGGACAGTCCCCGCTGGAGGGGAGGTGGGTGGTGGCTGAGCCCTCGCCATGGTGCTCCAGTCACTCGTGTCCGTCCCCACCACCCCACAACCTCCTCCCCATGGGCTGGGGGGGGACGGGACGGGACCATCCATGGTGTCCCCCCCGTCACCCCCTTCACTCAGCCCCTGCCATGGGGTGTCCCCCCTCGGGCTCCAGGCATCCATTGAGCTGGGGGTCGTATTCCTCATCCAGGAAGTCCAAGGAGTTGTTGCTGGGCAGGCCGCGGATGGTGAACTTGTGGGACACCTTCGTCCACTGCTCCCGGTTGCTGGCCACCCTCTCATAGAGCTCCGATGCCTTCGGGAAGAGGTCCTGGAGCAACCTATAGGGGGAGAACCCATCAGCGTGGGGCTGAACCCGCCGAGGTGCGACCACGCCGCTCGGGAGCCCCACAGCATGGGGAAGACCCAGCAGCCACGGGGGTGCTCACTTGTAGATGGGCATGGCGATGTGCTCCATGAAGCTGATCTGCAGCTCCGGGATGTAGGCTTTCTCCCGGTCCATCATCTCCAGCGGGCGGTTGCCCATGGCCTTCTCCTGTAGAGATGGTCAATGGCAATGGTCATCCCTTCTCCAGTCAGACCATCATGGGATGGCTTGGGTTGGAAGGGAGCTTGAAGCTCATCCAGTTGCAAACCCCGGACATGATGGGGGTGAGGATGGGATGGGAATAGAAAGAAGGATAGAGATGGGGATGGGGACAAGGATAGGGATGGGGACAAGGATGGGGATGGGGACGGGGACAAAGATAAGGATGGAGATGGGAACAAGGATGGGGATTGGGACAAGGATGGGGATGGGGACAAGGATGGGGATGGGGACAAAGATAAGGATGGGGATGGGAACGAGGATGGGGATTGGGACAAGGATGGGGATGGGGACAAGGATGGGGATGGGGACAAAGATAAGGATGGAGATGGGAACAAGGATGGGGATTGGGACAAGGATGGGGATGGGGACGGGGACAAAGATAAGGATGGAGATGGGAACAAGGATGGGGATTGGGACAAGGATGGGGATGGGGACAAGGATGGGGATGGCAACAAAGATAAGGACGGAGATGGGACCAAGGATGGGGATTGGGACAAGAATGGGAATGGGGACAAGGATGGGGATGGGGACAAAGATAAGGATGGAGATGGGACCATGGATGGGGATTGGGACAAGGATGGGGACAAAGATAAGGATGGGAACAAGGATGGGGATAGAGATGGAGATGAGGATGGGAGTAGAGATGGGGATGAGGATGGGGATAGGGATGGGGATGGGGATGGAGATGGGGATGGGGAGAAGGATAAGGATGGAGGTGGGGCCATGTCAGGGACCCCTTCCATTAGAGCAGCTTGCTGTGTCCAGCCTGGCCTTGAACACTGCCAGGGATGGAACACCCATAACATCTCTGGGCCAGACCTCCCTGTTCCACCTCCCACCTCACCCAAGCCCCTTTGGTGCTTGCCAAGAGCATTGGCCAAGCCCAAGCCTTGGTGCCACCTACCAGGTCACCCTGGGAGAAGAACTCCTTGTAGATCAGCTCCTGCAAGGGACAGGCTGTCAGCATGGAGGGGTGCACACCGGGGTGACCCCCCCCACCCCATCCACCCCCCAGACCCCTCTCCATGTCCCCATGAGGCTCCTGGCATGGGGAGCTACTGCGTGGCCATGGGGTCCCTTCATGGAGGAACCACTTCCCTAGGGCATGATGGGGGGCAGGTCGGTTCCAGTGCTGGGGGACATGCAGGTGCTATGGGGCAGCTCCTAAGGGGTCAGCCCCACGGTGGGACGCTCACCGCGATCTTCCTGGTGGTCTTCCAGCCCTTGGTCTGGTCGGAGAGGTCGCAGGAGGTCATGAGCAGGCAGAGCAAGAGGCTGTGGTGCTGCTTGTTCTTGGGGTCGTAGCCCACTGTGGGGCAGGGGTTGGGGGGCTCAGGAAGGAGCCCCACAGCCCCCATCACCCCCTGCATGAGGACTATGGGGACCCGCGGTGCCAACTCCCAGCCTTGGTGGGCTGAGGTCCCACCACAACCCCTTATCCCGTGGTCTTCACCTTCTGCCATCTTCTGGAGGTCCTTGAAGATGCGGAGGTGATGCGCCAGGTCGGTGGCCAGGATGATGTCCCTCATGAGGTCCAGCATGCGCTGGTAGTCCTGCAGGGCCAGGCAAGGTGACTACCAGCATCCCAAGAGCCGGATGCAGAGACGGGGAGCTCCGGTGGGATGTGGGATGCTCCGCGTGGAAGAGGGACCAAGCTTTGGGGCTCACCTTGCGGGAGAAGTGGTCAAAGATGTTGCAGCCTTGGCTGTTGAGGATGGCGATGGCTTGGGCGAAGTGATGCCGCTGCAGGAGGAGACGGGACCATGGAGCAGGCAGGGTGCAGGCAGGGTCCTGCCCCACCACCACGGCCAGGGTGGACCTTACCTCCATGACGGAGCCCTCTGAGCTGTACAGCGCAGCCAGGACTGATTTCTGCAAGGCAAAGAGGTGGGATCCATGGGGTTATGGGGGTGCAGAACCCCCCGGGCCCCGTCTCCATCCCTGTCCCCACAACCCCTGCGCGTCCCAGCGCCGGGCTCGGCTCACCGAGGCCACCTGGAAGGAGTTATTGGTGCCTCTGTGGTCCAGGTCGTGGCACATGCAGGAGATGAAGAGGGCAAAGATCTCGATGTCTCTGAGATGGGGGAAGGAGGGAAACTGAGGCAGGCGGGAGGGCAGGGAACACCCCATGGGGACAGGGCACGGGGACGGGCTCCAGCCTTACTCCAGGTAGTTGACGAGCTCCAGGTTCTTGTAGAGCAGGTAGCAGAAGTGGGAGACGGAGAAGGCGTGCATCCAGTTGTGGTACGGGGGGTCCCGGTAGCCCTTCTTCACCATCAGGCAGAACCTGGGGGGGGACACAGGGACATGGGTTGGGGGGGACTTTGTACCCATGGGGACCTTCACTTGGCTGGGTGGACCCTGGCAGGATGGGATGGGGATGGGGATGGGGACAAGCATAAGGATGGGGACGGGGACAAGGACAAGGACAAGGACAAGGACAAGGACAAGGACAAGGATAAGGATAAGGATAAGGATAAGGATAAGGAGGGTAAGGATAAGGATAAGTATAAGGGTAAGGATAAGGGTAAGGATAAGGGTAAGGGTAAGGATAAGGGTAAGGCTAAGGCTAAGGCTAAGGATAAGGATAAGGATAAGGATAAGGACAAGAATAAGGATAAGGACAAGGACAAGGACAAGGACAAGGACAAGGACAAGGAGGGTAAGGATAAGCATAAGGATAAGGGTAAGGGTAAGGATAAGGATAACGATAACAAGAAGGAGAAGGATAACGATAACGAGAAGGATAAGAATAAGGACAAGGATAAGGACAAGGACAAGGAGGGTAAGGATAAGGATAAGGATAAGGATAAGGATAAGGATAAGGATAAGGATAAGGATAAGGATAAGGATAAGGATAAGGACAAGAATAAGGATAAGGACAAGAATAAGGATAAGGACAAGGGCAAGGAGGGTAAGGATAAGGGTAAGGATAAGGGTAAGGATAAGGATGGGGATGGTGACAAGGATGAGGACAGGGATGGGGACCCACCTGGTGAGCGTCTGACGGTCCATCTTGTAGGTGTTGATGAAGTTCATGTCCTGCAGCATGCTCAGGATGGCCTGGGGAGGGGACAGGGGGGTGGCAGCGGGTGACAGTGCCCAGCAGGGTGTCGTTCCCCCCCGCCCCGGCAGGCAGCTGCATTTTGGGACCATCCCCACAGTCCTCACCATGGAGGTGTCATCCTCGGGCAGCGAGCGCGGGGTGTAGGTGAAGTTGGCGAAGTTGGGGTCGATGGTGGCCACGGGCTGGATGCCCTCGTTCAGCAGCTTCGTGTACTCATCATCCGACACCTGCGGCGCGAGCAGGTCCCCAGGGGTCCCCACGCTGTCCCTGGGGCCACAGCATCCCCGGGGTACCCCCGCCACATTGGGTCACCACCGCGGGGTGGGGTGGGGGGCACCATGGTGGTGGTGGTGGCGGTCCCAGCTCGTGTCCCCATCCCTGTCCCCGTGTCCCCTCACCTTCATGTGGTACATCATCATCTCGTTGGCCAAGTGGCTGCGGTACTGCGCCTCGTTCACCTTCTTGTACAGCAGAGACTGCGGGGTGGGAGGGGGGTTATGGAGCTCTGGAGGGGACCCCAAAGCCTCCCAGTACCTCCCAGTCAGCCAGCACATCCATGTGTGCCCTCCCCATCCATCCCTTCCCATGCCACCCCATCCCATCCATTGCATCCCATTCCATCCCATTCCATTCCATCCCATCCCATTCCATCCCATCCCATCCATCCATCGCATCCCATTCCATCCCATCCCATTCCATCCCATCCCATTCCATTCCATTCCATCCTATCCCATCCTATCCCATCTAATCCCATCCATCCCATCCCCATCTTATTCCATCCCACCTCATCCCATCCCATTCCCATCCCATCACATCCTATCCCATTCCACCCCATCACATCCCATCTCATCTCATTCCATTCCATCCCATCCCATCCAATCACAATCCATCTCATCCCATCCTATCTCGTCCCATTTTATCCCATCCCATTTCATCCCATTTCATCCCATCCCAATCCATCTCATCCCATTTCATCCCATTTCATCCCATCCCAATCCATCTCATCCCATCTCACCCCATTTTATCCCATCCCATCCGATCTCACCCCATCCCATCCCCTCCACCGCTTATCCCCAGGGAACAGGGACCACACAATGTCCCCCCATCATCCCTGTGCTGTGCCCACCCCTGGCTCCCCCTCGCCCCGCCGTTGTTCCCCCCTCCTCATACATGGGCGATGCTGATGCCGCAGTAGATGGAGAAGGCGGTGGCCAGGTCCTCATCGAACTTGCTGAACCAGGGCCCGTTGATCTTGTTCACCAGCTCCGCCACCCCGATCACCTCTGCAGGGAGACGGAGGGGCACAGGGGCAGGATCAGGCCCATGCCTGGGGACAGGATGGGGCCCCTGGGCTGCGGATGGTGATGCTGGGGACAGGATGGTGCCCATGTACCTGGAACACTGCTGTACCCATGGGCTGGGGACAGGATGGTGTCCATGTACCAGGAACACTGCTGTACCCATGGCTGGGGACAGGATGGTGCCCATGCACCTGGAACACTGCTGTACCCATGGCTGGGGACAGGATGGTGCCCATGTACCAGGAACACTGCTGTGCCCATGGCTGGGGACAGGATGGTGCCCATGTACCAGGAACACTGCTGTACCCATGGCTGGGGACAGGATGGTGCCCATGTACCTGGAACACTGCTGTACCCATGGCTGGGGACAGGATGGTGCCCATGTACCAGGAACACTGCTGTACCCATGGCTGGGGACAGGATGGTGCCCATGTACCAGGAACACTGCTGTACCCATGGCTAGGGACAGGATTGTGCCCATGCACCTGGAACACTGCTGTACCCATGGCTGGGGACAGGATGGTGCCCATGGCTGGGGACAGGATTGTGCCCATGCACCTGGAACACTGCTGTACCCATGGCTGGGGACAGGATGGTGCCCATGGCTGGGGACAGGATTGTGCCCATGCACCTGGAACACTGCTGTACCCATGGCTGGGGACAGGATGGTGCCCATGTACCAGGAACACTGCTGTACCCATGGCTGGGGACAGGATGGTGCCCATGCACCTGGAACACTGCTGTACCCATGGCTGGGGACAGGATGGTGCCCATGGCTGGGGACAGGATTATGCCCATGCAGTAAGAACATGATGGTGCTCATGTTCTAGGGACAGGATCGTGCCCATGTACCTGGAACACTGCTGTGCCCATGGCTGGGGACAGGATGGTGCCCATGTACCAGGAACACTGCTGTACCCATGGCTGGGGACAGGATGGTGCCCATGCACCTGGAACACTGCTGTACCCATGGCTGGGGACAGGATGGTGCCCATGTACCAGGAACACTGCTGTACCCATGGCTGGGGACAGGATGGTGCCCATGTACCAGGAACACTGCTGTACCCATGGCTGGGGACAGGATGGTGCCCATGTACCTGGAACACTGCTGTGCCCATGGCTGGGGACAGGATGGTGCCCATGTACCTGGAACACTGCTGTACCCATGGCTGGGGACAGGATGATGGCTGGGGACAGGATGGTGCCCATGTACCAGGAACACTGCTGTGCCCATGGCTGGGGACAGGATGGTGCCCATGTACCTGGAACACTGCTGTACCCATGGCTGGGGACAGGATGGTGCCCATGGCTGGGGACAGGATGGTGCCCATGTACCTGGAACACTGCTGTACCCATGGCTGGGGACAGGATGGTGCCCATGGCTGGGGACAGGATGGTGCCCATGTACCAGGAACACTGCTGTGCCCATGGCTGGGGACAGGATGGTGCCCATGTACCAGGAACACTGCTGTGCCCATGGCTGGGGACAGGATGGTGCCCATGTACCAGGAACACTGCTGTACCCATGGCTGGGGACAGGATGGTGCCCATGTACCTGGAACACTGCTGTACCCATGGCTGGGGACAGGATGGTGCCCATGTACCTGGAACACTGCTGTACCCATGGCTGGGGACAGGATGGTGCCCATGCACCTGGAACATTGCTGTGCCCATGGCTGGGGACAGGATGGTGCCCATGCACCTGGAACACTGCTGTACCCATGGGCAAGGGACAGGATCATGCCCATGTGCTGGGGACAGGGTTGTGCCACCGGAATGGTAACCAGATGCTGTTGGCAGTGCTGTGCCCACGTTCTGGGGACAGGATCATGCCCGTGTTCTGGGGACAGCATCATGCTACTGGAATGGTACCCAGATGCTGTTGACAGTGCTGTGCCCACGTTCTGGGGACAGGATTGTACCTGTGTGCTATGGACAGGATTGTACCTGTGTGCTATGGCCAGGACTGTGTCTGTGTACCAGGGACAGTGCTGTGCCCACTGCTGTGCTGTGCCCATGTACACTGCTGTACCCAGGGACAGGATTGTGTGGAACATTGCTGTTCTGGGGACACCTGTGTGCAGGACAGGATGCCCTGTGTGTTGGCCAGGACTGTGTCTGTGTACCAGGAACAGCGCTGCCACGTTCTGGAATGGGGACACAGTTCTGGGGGCAGGATTGTACCTGTGTGTGCCTGTGTGTGGACTGTGTCTGTGTACCTGTGTGCTATGGCCAGGACTGTGTCTGTGTACCAGGGACAGTGCTGTGCCCACGTTCTGGGGACAGGATCATGCCCGTGTGCTGGGGACAGCATCGTGCCACTGGAGTGGTACCCAGATGCTGTTGACAGTGCTGTGCCCACGTTCTGGGGACAGGATGGTGCCCATGTAAGAGGGACAGGATTGTACCTGTGTGCTATGGCCAGGACTGTGTCTGTGTACCAGGAACAGTGCTGTGCCCACATTCTGGGGACAGGATGGTGCCCATGTAAGAGGGACAGGATTGTACCTGTGTGCTATGGCCAGGACTGTGTCTGTGTACCAGGAACAGCGCTGTGCCCATGTTCTGGGGACAGGATCATGCCCGTGTTCTGGGGACAGCATCGTGCCACCGGAGTGGTACCCAGATGCTGTTGACAGTGCTGTGCCCAGGGGCAGGGGGCAGGCCCCGTGCCCATGCGCTGAGGGACAGGACGGCGGCCACATCCTCGGGCCAACATTAGCGCCCGTGTGCCAGGGCCGGATGCTGCCCCCACGCCCCAGGGCACCCTTCCACCACCACACACGCGGAGCCCATCTCCCACCGCAGGCATCGTCCCCGTGGCCCCAGCAGCCCTCACCCTGGCTCTCGTTCTTGATGGGGAAGCAGAGGATGTTCCTGGTGCGGAAGCCGGTGCTGTCGTCCACGCCGCGGTAGAAGAGCGGGTGGGAATAGGCGTCCTTGATGTTGAGGATCTTGCCGGTGGTGGCCACGTGCCCGGCGATGCCCTGGTCCGCGGGGATGCGGATCTCGTAGCTCTGCAGCAGGGACACGGATTGAGGCACCGTCAGCGCGCCCGTGGTGGCACCAAGCTGTGCGGTGCGGGCCATGGGGAGCTGGGCTGAGGACATTGGGGCTGTTGAGCCTGGAGAAGAGAAGCTGCGAGGAGACCTCAGAGCAGCTTCCAGTGTGTGAAGGGGGCTGCAAGGATGCTGGGGAGGGACTCTTCATCAGGGACTGCAGTGATAGGACAAGGGGTGATGGGTTCAGACTGAAACAGGGGAAGTTCAGGTTGGAGGTAAGGCAGAAGCTCTTCCCTGTGAGGGTGCTGAGGCGCTGGCACAGGGTGCCCAGAGAAGCTGTGGCTGCCCCATCCCTGGCAGTGTGGTTGGACACAGGGGCTTGGAGCAAGCTGCTCTATGGAAGGGGTCCCTGCCCGTGGCTTTAGATGAGCTTTAAGCTCCCTTCACCCCAACCCATTCCCTGATTCCACATCACTCTGGGGACAGGACCCCGGGCACCCCCCAAGCCCCCTCCTGCGCTCCCCGCGCTCACCTCATCGTCCACCACTCCTCCATCAAACACTTTGGCCACCAGCTCGTGGCTGAGCCGGTCCAGCAGGAACACGGAGCATCTGGAACAGATGCTGACGCTGCTGGCACCCGTGGGGGGGTCCCAGCACCCCAATGGTGTCACCCACACCCCCCGTGCCCCCCCCAGGGGCTCACTCACATCTCGGCGTTGCTGAGGTTTCGCGCCTCGGTGATGATCTCCTGGAGCAGAACGGAGACGTCGTCTGCGGGGAGGGGGGGTCAGGGAGCCGGGGCACGCAGGGACTGCCCGAGTACCCCCCCCTTCCCCATAGCGCCTTCCCTGCACACCCATGCAGGGAAAGGGGGGCTCTGCCTGCACCCCCCCACTGCAGGGGCATGGGAGCATGCGTGTGGACTTGTATGTGTGTGCATGTGTGCGTGTGTGTGCGTGTGTGTGTGCACATGTGTGCGTGCATGTGTGTGTGCACACCAGACGGTGACAGAGCCCATGCAAGTCAGCAGCAGCCTGTGCAGCGTGTGTGTGCAGCAGTGCAAGTACATGTGCAGCAGTGTGAATGCAGTGGTGCATGTGTGTGTGCATGTGTGTGTGCACACCAGACGGTGACAGAGCCCATGCAAGTCAGCAGCAGCCTGTGCAGCGTGTGTGTGCAGCAGTGCATGTGCGTGCAGTGCATTTGCGCGCAGCAGTGTGAATGCAGCGGGGTGTGTGTGTGCATGTTGCGTGTGTGTGTGCGTCAGTGCATGTGCAGTAGTGTGTGTGTGTAGCAGTGTGTGTATGTGTGCATGCAGGGCATGTGCAGCAGTGTATGTGTGCGTGCACCAGTGTGTGTGCATCCGTGCATGTGTGTGCAGGCAACAGTGCTTTGCGTGTGCAGCACTGCATGCGCGTGCAGCAGTGTGTGTATGCAGCAGTTCATTAGCGTACATGCAGCAGTACATACATGCAGCAGTGCATGTGTATGTGCGGCAGTGTGCATGCAGCAGCGTGTGCACAGCAGTGTATTAGTGTGCATGCAGCAGTACATACATGTAGCAGTACATACATGCAGCAGTGCATACATGCAGCAGTGCATGTGTATGTGCGGCAGTGTGCATGCAGCAGCATGTGCACAGCAGTGTATTAGTGTGCATGCAGCAGTACATACATACAGCAGTACATACATGCAGCAGTGCATACATGCAGCAGTGCATGTGTGTGTGCGTGCAGCAGCATGTGCACAGCAGTGTATTAGTGTGCATGCAGCAGTACATACATGCAGCAGTACATACATACAGCAGTGCATGTGTATGTGCGGCAGTGTGCCTGCAGCAGCACACGCGTGCACACCCATCCCTGCATGCACACAGCGCTCCGTGCTCATGCCGTGTGCACCCGTGCAGCACCAGTGCAAGCCCCCGGCCACCCCCCTGTGACCGTGTCCCTGCAGCACCCTCAGCGCTGCTCCCGCACCAGCACCTACCCAAGTGGGTGAAGAGGTTCTTTGCCACCTGCAGCAGCGCCTGGCAGGGACAGAGGGGCCAGGGTCAGCACCCGCCGTGACACGGGGCACACGCGTGCGCTTGGCATGACACGGCCTCAGGTGTGCTCCTCACCTGGCACTCGCACTTGAGCTTCTGCTCCTTCTGGAAGGCCAAGGTGCTGGTGAGCACCGTGGAGGTGTAGCAGAAGCAGTGCTGGATCTTGTGCTCGTCCGCCTCTGTGTAGCTGCAGTGGGGGGACAAGACCCCAAGGGGGACACCAAGACAGAGCCCTCAGTAGGGCCCAGGGTGAACGGCCCAGCCCTCGCCCCACGGGGGTACCCAAAGGGCGCCTGGAAGGGGTCCGGGTCCCCAGCTCACCTCTCACCGCTCAGCTTGTTGAAGGCGCAGGCCAGTGCCACCACCTGGGAGGTGGCGCGGCTGATGACGGGGACGCAGAGCATGGAGGTGACCTCGCAGCCCAGCATGCTGCTCAGCTGCCTGTGCTCCTCCTGTGGGACCAGGGGAGATGGGCGCCCCGTGGGACACCAAGGGGGACACTCACAGAACCGTGTCCCCATCCGGGTCCGGGATGGGACCCACCTCGCTGATGTCCTTCAAGGTGATGGACTTCTTGTCCTCCACCACTTGCCCCAGGCGCCCGAAGGTGAGCTGTGTGTGGAGGGGACGGGTGAGCCCGTGGCACCCATTGCCCCCCAGCCCTCATCACCCCACTCACCGAGAAGCTGATCTCCTCCTCCAGGACACGGTCCCCCACCACCTACAAGAGATGTGGGGAGGAGAACCCATGGGATGGTGGCCGAGCCCCATGGAGATGGGTTAGGGGGTGCAAGAGGCCCCATAGGAGCAGGGTGGGGGGATCACGCTGGGACCCACCTGGCAGAAGAGCTGGTGGTTGTCCTCGGACACGAGCAGGAGGCAGCAGCACAGGGACTGGGTCTCCTGCTTCAGCTGGGGGGGGATAGAGAGGGGGTCACCACTTCAATGGGCCCCGGGCCCCCCAGGGGAGGGTCTGACCCTTTGTCACCTCCCTGGGTACCCACAAGGGCCACACAGGACCAGGTGCCCCCCTAGAACCTCTTCTTGTGGCTGGAAAGGTTCACCCTGGACACTGGTGATGGTGAGGACAAGGCTGTTCACCCTGGTCACCACTGATGGCGAGGACAAGGCTGTTCACCCTGGTCACTGCTGATGGTGAGGACAAGGCTGTTCACCCTGGTCACCACTGATGGTGAGGACAAGGCTGTTCACCCTGGTCACTGGTGATGGTGAGGACAAGGCTGTTCACCCTGGTCACTACTGATGGTGAGGACAAGGCTGTTCACCCTGGTCACTACTGATGGTGAGGACAAGGCTCTTCACCCTGGTCACTACTGATGGTGAGGACAAGGCTGTTCACCCTGGTCACTACTGATGGTGAGGACAAGGCTGTTCACCCTGGTCACTACTGATGGTGAGGACAAGGCTGTTCACCCTGGTCACTACTGATGGTGAGGACAAGGCTGTTCACCCTGGTCACTACTGA